GGGTTGCAGTCAAAGATCGGCCGTGTTCAAGGAAACAACTGGTGTCCTGGCTGGTGGGCTGTGCCCACGCCTATTAAACCTCTGTCGGCGTTTGATCGCTTTGAGAAGACCCTGTCTGCGTTTGGGCACATTCATTCCCGTGCCTATCTTCTCTTTGCTCAGCTACATGCTGCAGCAATAAGCTTTGGTCTTGAGTGGAGCGGGGGCTCAAGCCTGACCTGGGGCACTTACGCATGCCCGGGGTCATGCCCCTATTGGCTCCCCAACGGTACAGTGGCTCCGGGGATCCCCCCTGGACTCCCCCACTCCCACTTTGGAGAAGAGGCGATGGTACTGTGTCATGGCGGCAATGGTCCCTTTCACATCAATCCAGCCATCAAGGGTGCCGGTGGCGACCCTTTTAAGGCGTAAGTTGTTTTGGGGACATGAAAGAAGGTTTTCTCAATGATCGATTCTGATGCGTTTTTGGTTTTCGTTTCTTTATTTAGGATGGAAAGCTTCCTCAAGGAGCAGAACTTCATGGAGGTGTTCTCCATAGAGTTCCTGAACTCGGATCCATGGCAAATCGCTTGGGGGCGCCTTGTCATAGGAGCGCCAGTTTGTCGGGGAAGGGGATTGTTGCCGACCCGTCGAGTGATTATTGCCAAATCCGGCAACGGGTTTTGGCTGGTAGGGGGTTGCGAAAGGGTTCATAGCAACGTGACGGACCTTCGTCGTGCCGATTAATTCGCGAAAGATGATTGCGGGATTTTTGTATTGTGTTTTTTGGGGGCATGTATTCTTTTTAGTACAGTGTTGTTTTTTGTACGTTTACATGCTGATACAAAAATAAAGTGCCTGGATTTCCTCAGGCTTTGCTTGAACTTTTGGTTTTTCTTTGTAAAGTTTTGCCAAATTCTGCATAAAGATTTTCCCCGTCTCCTCCAAATCAGCTTCGAGAGGAATAAGGTTTTGCAAACTTTGGTTGGGGAGGATGCTTTTGATAAATTTTCCTCCAGGTCCGGGCTTTGCAACTTCAATGTCGACTGCCCTGACAAAGTCATCCCGATTGCTGGGGTGCAACTTAACAATTCTGGCCAATTTCCATTTCAGCCTTTCAAAGGCAGTGTCTCCCTTAAAAGTTGGTCTTTTAAGCAACACCATTTGATCAATTTTTGGTTGCAATGTTGATCCCCGCGTCTTTCTTACGGGGAATTTTCTGAGTTCTCAAATGTAGTTGTCGTGAAAAGACTCCCACACATTGTTCATCAGCCTTAAACGATAAATTGCTCCCCTTCTTAAACCGGCAGCGGATCCCCCAGCAAATTGTATGGGGGCAGGACCGTACAGTAAGGGATTGAATTCCGGATTGGCTTGATGCGGGTTGATGAACATTGAGGGGGTGACCAGCATGGGGTCATCCCTGTCATCCGATATGTAGGTGAGTGGCCTGTAATTTATCATTCTTTCCACAAATGTCAAGCCAGCCCTCAAATGATTGTCGCCTTTAAACGGAATTCCCTGAAAGGTTTGGGCCAATTTGTCCTTGATCATTCGCATTAATTGCTCATAGAATCCACCCCACCAAGGAGCCCTTCAGGCATTGAAAAACCATCTGATTCCTCTAAGTTGTGTCTCGATGGTAAATTGTTTGGCTCTCAACAACATGGGCCAGGCGGCCCGAAAGGTGGCCTTGTTGTCTGATATCATGGTCTGAGGGGACAAGTCTCTTTTATTTATAAATGCTTCATAGGCAAAAATAAAAGATTCCAGTGATACGTTCGTCACCGGTTGAAGATCTATGGCCCTGGTTTTAGCGCAGGAAAAGACACAGATGGAAAAGTTTGCTCCATTTATTGTTAGAAACGGGCCAACGAAGTCAATCCCCACAGTATTGAAGGGGATTATTCCATCGTACCTGAAATCTGGCAGGGGCGCAAGGGGAGGTAAAAACTGTCTGGTGTCAAATCTGCAACACCAGTTACAATTTTTCCGTATCCTTTTTGCCAAAACTCTTGACCCCTTCATCCAGAATGGTTTGTTGAAGATTGTCACAAGTGTATTGGGTGAAGGGTGACCCAAATCCTAGTGAAAGGTGAGGAACAGAGATTGAACAAATCCAAGATCCCCCTGTTTTTTTGGAGGGGGCAAAAATACAAGAGAGGCGCGGGTAAGGTGTCCCTTTGGTACATGGGTGCTTCGGTCTCTAGCCTGTCGACTCTGAGAAATCAACAGGTTCATCCTAGGATTCCAGGTGAGATCCTCTCACCCTTGTATTGTGCCTCCTTGAACGAGGATCTCCAACTCGGTGGGAGCCCCGATTCTCTGAACTGAGCGGATTGTTTCCAATATGCCCTCCATGAATTCAAGGGGGGTAAAGTTTCTCAGAAATGGTTTCTGTCTGAAGATGCCATCCCCCATGTATGTCCCTCTTTTTGTGGGGGGAAATAGATGAGGTTTTCTGTTGCTCTTTTTTGCTCAATTTCTAAAGAATTCTTGTATTTTAAGCCAGGTCATTGTCCTGGCCACTACTTTTACCCAATTTCCTCTAGTGCCTTTGTACGCCTGTTCAAGGATTTTGTCGGGATATTTCCCAACTGTTATGTTTACCTTGAATTGAATCAGGGCGGTTTTTTCTGGTTGTTTTGGCCAATCACGCTGATTGGTCAACCACTCCGGCCCTTTCCACCACAGGGCATTAGTTTTCAGTCTTTTCAGAGGGGTTCCCCTTGACGCGTAATCCGCCGGATTTTGATCACAGGGGACATGCCTCCAGTTGTTTTGGAGGGATCCTGAGAGGACAGTTTGAAGGCGATCTTGAACATAGGGTACTGGGTTTAGTTTGCCACCCCAGATCCATCCAACTACAACCTGTGAGTCGGACCAGAAAAAGATGAAGTCTGACTCAATGCCGATAGACTTCAGATTTAACTTGGCCAGTCTAATTCCAAGACAGGCAGCCAACAGTTCTAGTCTGTTGATTCTTAGACTTTCGTCTTTCTCTCTGGTGTTGGCCATTCTTTGTTTTGATGGGACCAGTTTTGATTTGGCCTGGATCAGGGAAACGGATTCCCCTTACACCAAATATATAACAGCAACCAATGCCTTTCTGCTTGCGTCCACAAAGACGTGCAGGGATCTTTCAATGGCAGGCTTTATCAGTCTGTTGATCCTTAACATCCCCACAAAGGTGGCAGCCAGGGCCAGCTTCTTCCATTTCTTGGTCTCCTTCAGGGACAGTTTAGTATCCCATCTGGTCTTGGGGTTATCGTCATTGTATTTTTGGAACAGTAGTTTGAGGAGAAGGACAAAAGCCGCTCCCCAACCCATCATATAGAAAATTCTGGCGATGATGCCTGCAATTTGTCTCTTAGTCAGCCTTTCATTTTTCAAAAGGTCTGAGATATTTTCCGAGCAGGGGGACATTTGATCTTCTTTGGGGTAATACTTAACCCCTAGAATTTTGATGGGATTGCCACCTCTTCCCGGCAGGATCCGGAACTTATCAAGGATAAATCCCCCCTTTTTCAGAATTGCGGCGGCCTTTTTCAACTTTGTGTCAATGACTTCTGGGGTTTCCCCCAGAACGAGACATCATCCACATAGGTATTCTCTGTCAGCTCAGTATATTCTTCCTGAGTGATTTCCTTTTCATTGAAGGCCTTCTGATAGAGAAACCGGATACTGGCATTGAGGACAAATGGGGCGCAATTAATGCCCCATGGCAAACGTAGAAATCGGAAGAATTTAAAAGTGTAAGTGCCATTGCTCTGTCTTTCAGGCCACCTTATGATTAGGAGCCATTGGTCTTCTTCTCTTAATTGGACCTGCAGGAAGGCCTTCTTTATGTCTGCCGTGCCGAAGCAGGGCAAAGTTTGGATTCGATTGATAATATCAGGAATCAGGGGCAGGATATTCGGTGCCTGCTACAAGATTTCTTTTGTTGATGCCTTTCCTTTATCTGCGGCGTTCCCAGCAATCACCACCCTGAGTGGTGTGCTGGCGCTGTCAGGTCTCATCACCCCATGATGGGGCAGTTTGGTGAAGGGCGTTCCCCTCTCCGTTAACTCCTGCAAAGAGGTCTCTTCAATTACCCCATCCTGTTCCCATTCTTTCACTTGCTTTTCATAGGATTCGGCATATTTGTCTGCTTTTGACAGGGTGTTTATAACGGACTTTATTTGTGCTTCTCCCATTTTGAGATTGGGACTACAGGATTCTGGAAAGAGTGCTGTTTTCGGGAGAGGAGCTATTATCCTCCCTTCATCTGATATTTGGAGTTCCTTGAGATAGGCCTGAAGGATGGCGTCTGCGTCCTTTTCTTTTTCTTCAGGATCCCCAAAGATGTCAAAACAATCTCTTTGGAGTTGTCTGGTGATTTCTTCATTCAACCAAAGATCCTCTACATTTTCTTCTTCCGTAACCCTTACGGAGAATACAGTTGCCCTTTCTGATTGGTACGGGGCCTGATGACTAAGGTTTCCCTTGGCAACCCCTCCAAAAAGAGTCTCTTGGAGGCAGAAATGGTCAGATTCAAAGAATTTTCTGCTGTTATGACTGGTGACTGTAACCATGTCCTCACACCCCAGAATAATGTCCCACCAAATGGCGTCGGATTCCACAATTCTGGGGTCAGCAAGCTTGTCCTCATGGTTTTTAAGCCATGGTAGAATTTCAGGGTTTTTCCCTGACCATGCCTCTTTTATAGGGATGACCAGGGCTTGAGTTCGGAGGGGGTAACCAACCCCTTTTCTGTGACCCAAGTGTAGGTTAACGAATTGATCTGAGGAAATGCTTTGCCCATCTTTGTTGACACCATGAATGGTATATTTTGTACCACATGTCTGAGTGGGAATTTTGAGTCTATTGATGCATTCCCTCGTGATAAGGGTGGTTTGAGCACCCGTATCAAGGAGTACGTATAGTTTTTCCCCATTAGGGTAACTTTTAACCTCTGCAGTTTCAATGAAGGAGCTCAAGAGGTTGGACAGGAGGGTTGTCAAATTAATTCTTAATTGTCATGCCTTTGGGTCCTTGGGTTCCTCCTGAACCTTTTGCGGAGGAGAAGGATCCTCTTTTTGAGTGACAATTTGCTTTTTCCAATCTTCTTTGAAGCTTTTAATCTCATTGAGGATCAATTGCCTGTGAACGAGATCATCGGGTTCCTCAATCTTTTCTTCCTTCTCCTCTTGGGGCTTTACTTTGATACAGAGGGAGGTGTGATGCTTACTAGAGCATTTCTTACATCTCCAGCTACTTTGGCACTCGGCCTGAGAATGATTCGCCTTAAGACAGTTGAAGCAAAGGCTGTTGGTCTTAGCTAGTTCTCTGCGCTTTGAGACGCTGTAATCGCAATTAGTATGAAAGTGCTCCCTTTTACAAAAGGCGCATTTGACTTCAAATTTTTTATTGTTGGCTGTTTTCCCAAAGTTCTGCTTTACAAACTTGGGTTTTTTGGAAGGATTCTCATTGGATCCCTTCTCTGCTTTTCTTTTGCAAGAATTTTGGTTTTTACCCTTAGGCTGTTTTTCAGTCTCTTGTACCCCAACTTTGAAAGAGCATGATGCCTTTTTGTTGGGACAATTCTCCCTTACAGAGAAGGAAGTGTAGACCGATCTTAGCCAAGAGTATTTTTTCAAGGGATTTGTTATCCAGGAAATCCTTTCTGAGGGTGGGGCTCGATGAATTGCTACGTCAATCATCATTGATCCAGACAGCTTAGATTCCACAATAGGCCATACCCTATTTTCAATCACGTCCGGGTTTGGTTCAATTTTCTTCAACTTCATAAATAGAGGAGAAATTTGGTAAGCATATTCGGCCGCTGCCCTCATGGATTCATCCAAAGGGCTCAGTTGCTCAATTTCCAAGTAGAGCTTATTTTTTGACGCAGAGGCGTTACCATATTTATCAAAAAGAAGCTTGATCAAGTCAAGGTAGTCATCTTCCTCTTCACTACTCTGAAAAGGAGCCGTGTCTCATTTCAATTGACCGGACAAATGCATTTGGAGTAAACTTATCCTCTCGGAAGGAGTGATAAGATTCCTTGAGGCCAGATGATACTTCCAGAAATTATTCCAGATCGTTTCCCAATCCTCCTCAGAATTTTCCCCGTCAAAGGGAGGGAAGGAAGGGTGATCGGACGATTTGAGAACTTTGGCAATTTCTTTCTGGGCATCAATCTGTTTGTTTCCTGCGGCAAATTCACTCAGGACCTTTTGATAAGAGGGGTTTAGTACCCCAACTTGCTCAAGGAGATAATTTTCCTGATTGAATTGAGAATCCTCGTTTTTAGCAGGACTCTCAGGAAGGATCACCCCAAGGATTTCTCCAGGGGTTGGTCTGAGTACCCTCCATGATTGAAGGAGGGTGACATCAGAGGATTTGTTAATAAGTTTCATTTCCATTTTGAGTTTGGAGAGTTTAAGATAGATCTCCATGTCCTCTTTTTCTGTAGAGGGTTGGTTAATGCCTTCTTCTATTTTAAGGAAGTCTTTTCTGATTTCCTTCATCTTAGTGGGGTTTATCCCACTTTGATTCTTCAAGAAGGTATCCAGAACCATCATTAAGTTTGACAGTACCAATAGTGACTGCATTTCATCTGGAGGTTCATCTTGCTCAGAACATTCTGAGTAAGTCCTCTCACTCCTTAGTTCTTCCTCAAAATCTTGAGGAGGGATTATTTGTCGGATTTTGGGGGGACAACCTGGTCCTCTCTTGAGGGGGCCACCCCCTATGGGGACTTCATGGGAGATTTCCATTTCTTGAATGGATTCAGCTAAATCCCCTGAATTTAACTCCTCAACCGATTTTTTCCTTGCGTTGGGCATTTCAAAAAAGAGAGTGGTCAAATTGCCTTTCCCTTGCAGTGGAAGGGTTCTTTGGATAAAGGTTTAGAAATTTTATACACGGGAAGAGCAAACCACGCTCTGCTACCACTTTTGTACAAATTTTTGACTGGGATATTTTCGTCCCAGGAGAGAAATGTACGTACTCTCCGAAACATCACAGAGTTGCCCTTTTAAGAAAAGGGTTTTTACAAAAGTTGGTTTTAAGAAGTTGGTCTGAGGAGACAAAGATCAGATCTACAGAAAAAATAATCAGTAGACAAATTGGCAGGCGCGCAACCTGCCGGAATAAGTGCAAACGTGTTTTCCACAATCTTACACAATTTTTCACGAGACACTCTCGAACACTTTGAATTCAATATATGCCGGACTTTTTGCATTGAGTTTTGCAAATTCAGATTCTGACAAAGAACACTGAAAAAATGGTTCCGAAGCTTCAAAGCAGCCTTCTGCAGCACTCTCGTCGTTCTGATGATGATTCTGCTGTTGAGGTCCGTTTTATGCTTTTCAGGATCCTTTGTTTCAAGCCCGGGGCTTGTCATCGGCAACGTCGGGAACTTCCGCCGGATCCCCGTAAATTCAGCCCAACTGTTGGGAGGGCTGATTTATTGGGATACGGAAATTTGTAAAAAGTCGGTTTCCCCAAAAATTTGGATTTTCGGGATGAAAAGGTTTAGGTTGTAAAAGACTCGTGAGAAAGGAATCTGCTCCTCTCTATAAAAGTCTACACGGACCATTTGTGTCCTTGTTTTGAGCTTCTGACGGGGGGGGGAGGCGCTTGCGCAGCAAGCGTTGAGTTTTGAGTGTTTTAGAGGTAATTGAGTCCCCTCATAAAAGAGGGGAACCCCTGTCGTTTTTCCGGGTTCTATCTCTTTTTGGCGGCTTAACGGCCGCCAGCTGGTCTGAGCCATGTGTCTTTTGGCGCGCCAATATTCATAGGCGCCCCCTTTCAGAAATATAATCCCCAAAGTTTTTGAACTTTGGGGATGACCAATAAATCGCGTCAAAAACATGACACAAACTTCAACTCGGGGGTAATTTCTCACAAATGTGACTATGTCAAAATGTGTTAGAAGCCTGATGGGTGAGTCACATTTTGAATATTATGGGAAATGTTCAATATGCACCTTTTTGAAATCAAAACAATTACAAATTAATTGATTTCAGGTTGAAATTTGAATGCTGATGGCTCTTATTGTATGTGAGAAATTCAGTTTTTTGAGTTTCTAAAAAGGGGGCACGTCTTATAGGGGGATGAGATTTCATGAAAATTTTAAGGTGAAAAATTGGGGTATCTGTTCTAGTCAAGGGCGCATCGTGTAAATACGGAATGAGATCCATTGACTAAATCAAAAGAGGGAGTGAAAATAAATTGAAGTTTTCCACGTGTGTATCAGGCATTTTTGGAAGTGGCAGAAGAGATCAAATGATCAAATATCAAAAAGGCTCAAAATTGTGTCATATTCTTCCTTGCAAGGTCCATCACTTCACAATCATGCAGTCAACCCTTACCTGATGGACCTCCTGCCAAAAATATTTTTGTCCAACAGACCACCTATGAAGGCAGTTTATCCTCTGGCCTAATGGACAATATCTGCCTAATGGACTTCTGTTGGTTGAAAATTAATGGTAAAAAGTAAGATTTTTAATTTTTTCATTAATTGAATTGGCACAACAGACTTTTCACAGAACAGACAAGTGTGTTGCACAATTGAAATCAAAGCATTGAGTATCAACATAAAATCCTTCGTTTTCCTCTTATTAATGCATCACACTGCTTTATGCAAACATTATTCAAGAAAATCTCCAACCAAACACGACAATAAGAATCGAAACGAGGATGTGTGTGAGTTATTGTTCATCCATCGTCAATTCTTCATCACCGAAAACCCCCCGAAATAAACTGTGCTTAATTTGTGCTCCATTACGGATTCAAACATTTCTCGTTTGACGCAAATTTCATTTCGAAAAATATCTGAGCCCATTGAGGAATCCCAGCAGGAAACTTGACAGAATTCGTCTTTTTGGTGCAGCAGTTGTAGTGCTGGCATTACTGTCGTTGAAGATACACTTATCAGCATATTGGCAGACGAACGCAGTATGTCCATCATAACTCATGCTGCTGGCAATTGTCGTGACCCTCGTGGATAAGGCTGGGTTCACAATAATGTAATAAGTTTTGACCCCAACCAATGCTGCCTTTTCGGTTCCGTAGTCAACCACAATTGGAGACCCCATTTTCCCCTGCCATGGAAGTAAATAAATAAAATCATGTCAAGACGAACTCCGAGTACCTGTTGAAAAAAAACTGAGCATTAAAAGAGTAAAATGTGTGGCTATATGAGACTCATGGATCTGGGAGAACAACTGTAAAAAATATTTTTGGAACCAGCAGCAGCAGCCAAAAAGATGAACATTTTTTTCAATTCCTCTAAAACGTACTCACTATAGAAGTTTTCATAATTTCAGATTGGCCCTCATGATAAAATATAAGGATCATTAAAAATTTCGCGTCTCTCATTCTAAACCTGTCTCTAAAATTTCCTAGAAATCTACTTTTTTTGCTAAAATCTTAACTGAAACAGAAAATGTATGCCGAATAAGAGCAGCCTTATCACTCGCGAGTTTTAATTCTCTGATGAAAAAGCAGCATTCTTTCAAACGTACTCTTGATTATTTGACAAAAGTTTACTAAATTTTGAAGGCATCACGTCAAGTTTTTGTTCGCAGTGCGACGTTTTCTGTGCAAAAAATTGAGCATTTCGACGCCGAAGTTAGATTTTTCCATTTTCGTGCTAAAAGTCAAAAATGCCTGACCCGTGCAAAATAATTCTAGACTAAATAATCTTTGTTACTGTGATCAGAGGTGAATATAAGTTTTTTTCAAACAAAATTTCAATCAACATGGTTCCTATATGAGGATACTCCTGGGGGGGGGGATGCTATGAAAATGGTTGTGATAAAAATTTTGTTAGCATTAAACTATTGCTCTGCTTTTTTTCTGGATAGCAAATAATGGAAGGAATTGTGTATAAGTCATGGGAGGGGGGGAATTCTTGAACAATATGGGAAATCTGCAACATGTGCCTTACACGATATTCAAGATTTGATCAACGTACCCAATGTAGGATTTTTTAAATGTTCAAGTTTTCGGCTTATTCGTCAAAGTCGATTGCAATTTTTAAAGAACTTTTTGAATTGAAACCAATGTTGCGATTGAAAGCTTGCATAATTTCCACTCGGCTTTCCAAGCATGACTTTTTCTTTTCTTACGATTTTATCCAAGGAAGATGGCAATGAAGTATCGGCCAATTCAAAGCACAAGGACCATTCCAGACTCATGAAAAAGGTGCTACATCCCACGCCGACATAATTCGCCTTCTGAAGTTCGTACACAACTATAAAAAGAATGCATAGTATAAGGATAATAATAAAATTTTAAAAAATTAAGAGCTCAGCATGGTCTTTACATTCGTCGAATGAAAGTCGCCTGATCGGAGATTTAAATTCCAGTCCAGGATCGTGACGCTCTGTCCAATGTACGAGGAGCCAGCATTTGACATAATCGGGATAGTTTTGACATAGTCTCCCAACACGGCATCAGAAGGCAGTCTCAAAATTGCTGGTTGATTTCTGATTCGAGTGTTCAGAGATGTTTCTCCGTAAGTCCACCTGACATAATCTGGATGGCGTATCACATTGGAGAGTCCCACTTCGAATTCCTGAGAATCTCCCAGAATGGCATGAATTGTTGTTATGCTGTTGAAATAGGGCGAACTTGACTCGTAACTCAGGGGATCGATCACCCAGGCTGTAGTGAGGATGTGTCTGTTGTGGAAAATTGAGAGGGCTGAAATGTAGATCACTGTTACCCCTTTTTTTTGTACTTGCGTGTTTCCATGCAATTTTTTGTGGACCAGCAAATTTTCAGAAAATTATTAGCAGACCAGCAAAATTTCAGAAAATTATTAGCAGACAGCAAATTTTCAAAAAGTTGTTTGCAGACCAGCAATCTTCAGAAAATTGTTTGCAGACCAGCAAATTTCCAGAAAAAGTTTGGTGAACTGGCAGTAGGTTCAAAAAGTGTTATTTCAAAGACTTTGCGGCAGGTATTTAACCATTCAACAGCAGGGAGTTCCTGGCCATCCTGCAGCAAAGTTGGATTTTTTGAGGGAGGAAGGGCATTTTAGTTTGGCCAAAGGTCACTGAAATGCCCCTAGGTTTCCAAAGCCTAAATTGGGAATAATCTGGGTGCAGAAACCCACATTGTCTCAAGAAATCCCCAATGTTGATCCTATACTGGAAGTGCATGAAAAAATGCCACCCAGTGAGAAATTTCTTTGGGCGAAATTTTCTGCAGGAATATAAAATATACTGTATCAGACTTTTACCAAATTAGACCTCGGTTAAAATATCAGATTTTAACATTTGTAAAGCTCATGGGGATAAATTTTGGCAAAATATCCAAACTTCACCACACAAGGATTGAAAAGTGTTACTTTTTTGTAGCAAAAATTGAGTTATGGGGAGTAATGGAGCAGCTCTAGTAGAATATATTCAAAAAATGAGAAGGATAGGCTTAAAGAAAGGCCTCTCATTATAACAAATTGAAATAATTTATTTCAGCAGGTGAAATTTTGCTTGATGCATGATTAGGAGAAAATCAAACTTTTTTCATCTAATCTCAACTGCCATTGTCTTTCAAAAATTGCAGCTAAAAATAACAATACTTTGTTGCTACTTTTTTATAAAATTCGATTATCCTCAAGAAAATTCTCCTAAACCAGCAAAACAATCTGTGACCAGTGCTGATCTGCACACTGTGAGTTGGGGAACACTGACATAGTCACCTAAACCACAGTCAAGTACGCAATTCTGATAGAGCATTTTTCTTGTGCGAGTGATACTGTGAAGTACTGTACGACAGTATACGGAGTTTGTTTTAAATTGAACCATGAAGTGACTCTTTTTAGGCACAAAAGAGTACGCAAGGTTTGATTTGATTTGATGAAAAATACTGCATCCGGTACAGAAATACAGGTGGACTCTCCGCGCAAAAAAAAAAATCAAGCTACTGTACCATGAAAACTTCGGTGTAGAGAGAATTCCGGTATAAAGAATCCCTAGAACAAGGGGAGAAAAGCAGGTGCTGGACCTTGAAAAAATTCACTACACAGAGAAAATTATTCTGCACAAAATTGTTGCATGTATATATGACAGATTCCATCTCCATGAAAGACTTTGGAACAGACAAAATCGTTGCAAGAATTTTACTGCAAAGAACCCCGAAAAACATGGGCAGAAATGCTTGTATGGACCCAGGCTATGTTTTTCTGGAAACCATCCGTAAAATTTTCAGAAGATACAGCAGTTGAAATGTTTGTGAAATAAATTCTGATCTCGCTAAAAAAGGACAACGGTTACGTTGAACCGAAATTTCAGGACGTTCACGAAGTTGATGTATTTCGATGCGTTCCCGAAAGTAAATCTTCTCGTGGTTATTAAATTTTATTCCGTTGAGGATCATCATGTGTAAAAGTAGTGTACTTTGATTAGCAATACAGTATTCATATATGGACGAATGATGCTAATTCCTGGTTGAAACAAATGCGTCATGTAATTTTTAAAATTCAGAGAATGATTTTTTCAATCATTATCGTAAACCAACCTCGCTAAAAAACCATGTATCACGTTCAGCTACACCAAAAAATTTTTCAGAATGAGATCTGAAAGTCTAAAATCTCAAATCCCGAATCCTCGAAGAGGACGCAAAATTTGGAAACATGTCATAGTTTATGTTCCAAATAAATCCGAATGGTGTATTGCATTTTCAGAACAGTTTTTTTTTGTACCACGCAAGAAATTATCAGCTTCATAAATAACTTTACAGAATGAGATCTGAAGTTCTGAAATCTGGAATTCCTAAATTTTGTAAGCGGAAGTCCTCTTCCAATAAGTTTCATGTTCCATTAAATCCGAATAAAGTACTGAATTTTCAGTGAGCTGTAGTTTCTTTTTTCTTTTTTTTTGGCTTACCATGCAAGCTTTAAGATTCTAAAGTCTAACTCAATGAAAAGATTAGCTTCAAGGGATTCAATACCTTTTCGAAATCAGCGCTCCTACTGACATCGGGGTTCTCAGGTTCAGGTTGGTGGTAACATCAACCCTGGCAAAATACGGCGCTTTTGTTCCGTCAGTCTCTGCAACCCCGCCTTCGATTCGAGAATATTCAGTATTACTGAATTCTGAAGAGGTGTTGGATCGGTTCCCAATTGCTGCGAGTATTTGCGCAATCGGTCTTTGTGCATCATTGTTGGTATTTTCCATGCTGATACGGGCAGATCGTCCTGTGTGATGAAAATTAATATTGTTTAAATCACACGTTATTCGAAACAGGAATACAGTAATAACAAATTAACGTTACCTCTGTTTCCTGTGCAGAAGATCACCAGAATGAGCAAAAATGCCGATCCAGCTCCAGCCATAATTTCAAACTGATCGTCAAGAGAATATACTTTACAGTCAAAATCCGAAATTCGTAACGAGCTTTCAACTTTAGATTGAAATTCAAGTTTTGTTTGAAACTCCGGTCCGTGATGGAGAAAAATACGATGATCACAAACTTTTTTGATACTTGGCTTTGAGCAGTGAGTAAATACTGTATCTACTTCTGTATGAAGTTTCGTGTAGCTCTGAAACGAAATCAAACTTTTCCACAGACCTGAAAACACTGAGGAAGACACGGGCGAGTCGAAATGAATGTCTCGACTTTCAAAGCAGAACTGCGAAGTGTTTTCCTTGAGCTGCTTTTCAAGACAGAATTCGGAGAAAAACACAAAGGAATATATTTGAAAAAATATGTTTTCTCGCCGTGCTGTCACCCATAACTAACAGATGAATGTTGTGCCAGAGGACAATACAGAGGGCTGTGGAAGTTCATTCCCCCTGCAGATCCTAGTTCCGTAAGTAATAATTGTAAGTTGGAAACAATGTACATCAATCTAATGAACTCCGGTTAGTAGATTATTATTTACGTGAATAAAGGGAATCAAGGACTGATATGATGAGCCATATTCTTTAAGCTTCAGAGTATAATGTATTTTCAATAAGACATAAATGTATGAGTCTTCCATGGAAACATACTTGTACTGTATTACTATAGTTCTCATAAATATGCTGTTGTCTTGACCGTTGTGCAGCAAAGACAGGATATTTTTCCAAAATGTTTTACCACTGGGCGTTGGAAACTTTAAAAAATCTATTGTTGTGCCAAGGCCTAAGTCAGGAAAAAGTCCAATATTTTTTATAATCCTACAGAAAATTGTGAAAGAAAAATGTAAAAAAAATCCCTCACTGCATAGCATTTTTCCCACATTACTGGCGTAGGATTAAAATGGGAGAATCCTGCAAACAATAAAAAATCTGCCTTCTACATTTTTCCCAACATGGGCTTTCTCAACCTGGGAAAATATCAGTGACCTTGGGTCAAACTGAAATACACTGCCCACTGAAAAAATCATAACTCCACTGTGTACTGCAAAAGAACCCTCTGTTGTCCAAGCGTTAAACTGATTTTATGGTGCAGACACTAAATCTATCTGTTATCAATTCTTGAGGAGATATAACCTGATCAGTGCAGACTTATAATTATTTTAGATTTGCTATGCTTTCAGGTCATGTATGTTCCAAACCAAGTATACTGAGTACTGAGGTGAAATGAAGTGGTGGAATAAAAACAATCTCTGAGGATTTGTGTTCGTATTTCATCAATGTATAATCATACAACTTTGCAAATACAGTCAGCCTGTGACTGATATACCTCCTGCCTCAGGGATTTTTACCTAAAAGACCACCTATGGAGGCAGTTTTTCCTCCTACCTAATGGCCAAAATCTGCCCAACAGACTTTGGTTAGTTTCAAATTAATGGCAAAAAGTAAATATACACTATTAATTTTTTAATAATTGAATTTGCATAACAGACTTTTCACATAACAGCTGAACTAGTCTGTTGCATAAATCAAGTCCATTGTGCAGGGGTTTAATGTGCAGTATCACCTACAATGTACTCAGCCCCTTTCAGAGGGTCTTTTAGCACTGAATTAGAATGAGAGGATTTGGGTCCTTCTGTTAATTTAACCCTTCTGCCACAAAGTGGGACTTTTTTGCAGATTTTAATGGCACTCAAGAGTGGAATTTAAAAAAAACCAACATTGTGTGCAGGGCAAAGTAGGGAAAAATCCTGGCATTTTTTAAATTTTCCACAGGAAAATTTCACCTGAAAATTAAAAAATGAAAACTTCAAGGCTCCCTTTTTTCCCCCGGCCTTGTGCTGTTGCCCCATTCAAAGATTAAATTTAAGCTTGGAAGCCAGGAGCCCAGGTTGGAGGTCAATATGGAAAAAGTCCTACTCAGGACTTTCCCAGCATTTCATTATCCCTGGAAAAAATCCGACTTTGCCCACCCCCACCTGGCAGGGGTTGCATAACCTTGTGCAAAAATATATTGCACACCCATTGGGAAAAAGTCCAACTTATTTGCCCTGGGATGGAAAGGAGGCTGCCGCCGTCCAAGGGTTGAAAGAACCTCACTGAGGTCAATGGATTGATTGTGACAGAGGAATGCAGGCAAGCATATGCATGATATAGGGTTCTCTTGGTCCTCTAAGATTTTGGAAAGAGTCTTTTCATCAAATTTCAAGGGTCCCAACAAATCTTTTTGAAGCTCATTTGTGTACGTGTGGAATCTTGGGCATAAGAAAAAATGTGCTCTGATGATGCATAATCCAATGTATTTAAACTGTAGACTTCACACCACTTGGACACCTTTGAAAATTTGATGATTTTTTTCATTAAAATGCCATGAAATTTTCAAAAGAGCTATGGTATCATGTACCAAAGGGATGTTAAATGATACACATAATGATGGTTTAATATTACCACAAGCAAGATCATTTGCTGCAATACCCATGATCCATGCAGCAGAAGAATCAATATACAGTACAAGCATGTGCATGTTCAATGAGGAATAAAAATGATTATCATGTTTATTTTCCTTATGTAAATTATAAATTCTGGCTCTTGCAATGCAGTGAGACCCCAAAATATGGACACCCCAACATATGGACAATTTGACTCTGGGGCATTTAGACTGGAAAAATCTGTTCCTGACACCTGGACAGTGACTTGAGGTACAGATACTTTTCCAAGATGGACAAGATAATTTAGAAACTTAATTTTTCTAGATTTTTGTACCTTGTGAATAAACTGAGCTAAAAAAAATATATTGCTATGGTAGACAGCATGGTATAGGGCCACATTCTATGACCTGTGCTTTCTGTACCACACATGGGAATATAGTCCGGCCAATGTAGCAGAGCAAGCATGAGTTCTGTCTGCTTTTGGATGCAAAATGGATCATCTGTAGTCCCAATATCAACTGAGCATGCAGATTACAGTATTGGGGCAGGATGGAATGTTAAGGAAGCATCCATCCCCAGATACAGTTGAACCTTGATGTCAAACCTCTTAAAGTTGAATACCTGATGTCCAAGTGAATATTTTTTCTTCAAGTCCCCAACTGAATTCTCTTAGACACAATGCATTAAAATCCTCATTAACTCAAAAGCTTGTCCTCTAAAACCTCCATAATTTGAATTTTCTTAGACAGTTTGGCTATTATTTTTTTGATGATACAGTGGGCCCCCATCTTATGTCATCAATCTGTTCCAGGATTGACATTGTAACATTGGGCCATTTTAAGTTGAAACCCTATTTCCCTTAAGGTTACATTATAAAAAATTAATTTAAGTTTAGTCATATCATGGAACCCCAACGTAAGTCGGGAGTTTTTCAATATAAAAAGCGTTGAAAGTTGAAACTGATGTAACATGAGTCCATTGTCAGCCCACTGTACATGCAAGAGAGAAGCAATTAAAGAAGTAACTTCATGCCTTTTGTAAGGAAGTCACAGACTATTTGGGCAAATGAACCCCTGCCTTTCAAGTTCAGCATGCTGTAAACTCATTCAAGATATAATTTTTAAGGTCAGGAATATCACCAATTATAATATCCTGCAATTCTTTCATGCTTCCTGAAAAAAATGCTTGTTTCCTTAACTACAAACCTCCCTAATTCAAAACCTCTCTAAGTTGAGTTTTTTTCTTGGTCCCTTGAAATTCAAATTTGAGATGTTCAACTCTATAACAATTCCTTCCCCTGACAAACTTATCTGGACAATTCCTCATATAATTTATACCCATGTAAAGAGGGTGCTCCAAATCAGGAAGCCTTTCCTTGGAGGATGATGATGCCTTTGAAATGGTAAACCCTGGTCAAAACTAGTTCAATACTTCTATACTGGCTGACTGAAATAATTTAGGTGACGCCACTGTTTAAATTATTGTGGTCCTTCATGCATCCCATATCATGCAGTCTGCAATTCAGAAGGAAAATAAATTAAATTCAGTAAATGAGCCCCAGAAGTCTTTTTTCTGCATTTATTCACACTCTCAACAATTTTGTGCCATACAAAATATGCTTCTCCATTTGATACAATCTCCCTGGGAAATATATTAAATCATGTATCTGTTTGAGACATAGGTTAAAACATTTGTTCAATTTTTTTAAAGAAAGTGAAATTGATTCAAAGTTATTTTTCATGTGAATTAATTTTCAAATTCATCATTAATAAATTGCAATTTGAGTCTCGTAGATTTTTTCAATGTCATTTTCTGTGGACTTTTACAAAGGTTGGGGAATTATATTGAGGAATAAGTGTGGTAGAGATTTAAAATGTCTCACTGCTCGTTTAAGTGAAGTCATGATCAGGTTTGCATAAAGAATCTTCATCACATTTATATAACGGTTTTGACTTCCTGAGCAGATGATGTTATTTCTTCCCTTTTTGACCATGCACTTCAGTTGTATTTGTTTTCATTTTTCAGCGTGTCTCATCAAATTTTGTTAGGAATGCTTTATTGTTGGTTCTTTTTTCAATTTTCTGGATGCAGTATTTTGAAATACCTATTAATAGGGGCAAGACAGATTTTCTCATGTTTTTGAAAAGATGGGTTTTGTGTCAGAAGCACCCATTTATTTGCAGTGCTCTCCTCAATCCACAGTTAATACAGTTGAACCTGGATAATTCAAACTACCCCAAGTCAAATAAATCTCAAGTCAAAATGTTTTTAGACTCCCCACCTGAATTCTCTTATAAATAATGCATTAAGATTGTCTTCAACTCAGACTTTTCCTATAAAACCTCCATAACTCTAAGTCCTGGGGTCCTTCTGGCTAATTTTTTTGACACATGGAAGAGGAAAGCAATGAAAAAGTAGCAATGCGTTTTAAAAGGAAGCAAATGACTAATTGGCCAAATTAAACACTTGCCTCAAAGTCCAGCATCCTGTCATCAATTTATTAAAGCAGCAATATATTGCCCAGAATATCACCATTTACAATTTACTGCAATTCTTATATTATTCCCGCAACAAAAATGTGAATTTCCCTAACTCCAAACCTCCCTAACTCAAAATGTGCAGTTCGCTGGTCCCTTATTGAAATTTGACGAAAAGAAGTTTGACTGTAACAAAGAGCAGCACACCGTATGTATAAAATCAAACTCTGAGACAGTCTCCCCAAATAAGTTGTGATGATGCTTGTATTCATGCCGCAGTCAATCATTTCAATCAATTGTTCCGCTCTGGGAAACCAAAGCTCACTTCTGCATGAACTACACAACAAAGCATGCGTTTCGTTGACCGCGGATTGATGCAACAACAACCATACAACAAAAAATGCCCTTGAAACAGAAATATGGTACATATATGTGAATAAGATGGAAATGTCCGATTGTTATCAACTCTTCGAGGTATTCCACGGTTTTCATCCAAAAATACCTTTGAACCAAGTGACTATGGTTTGCGAAANTCGAAATATCGCTCCCTTCGTCAGTTGCTCCATCAAGTGCATCAGTGCTGATGGGTTCTGGTTGATTTCCTTCTTGAGTGTCATCCGTTGATTCTATGGTAGACATAGACTCATCGGGTATATTTACCGTCTGAGGTGATGTTACGGCATCAGTTGTTTTGGGCTCAGGGTTGTCATAGATGCAACTATCAGCGTACTCGCAAACAAACCCAGCATGTTCAGCGAAACTCATGCTCGAAGCTCCTTGCGTCGAAACTATATCATTCAAGGAAGAGTATTGAAGGGTTTTAACTGAGATCACCGCCGCTGCTGCAGTTCCGAAATTGACGATGACCGGTGATCCAACAACACCCTGCGGATTGAGCACACATCCGGAAAAAAAATTTCATTTATTAAATCTTCCAAGGAAAAGTCAGCATGTGTAGGACGTCTTTTCCAAGTACTGTACTGTAATGGAAAGAAAATATTGTGATAAATACGCAAAATCATAGCAAGCCAAACACAATGACTTGAACATTTTATCCAAGTTCATTTTGTTACATGCATTGGTCTGTATATACAGTATATTTTGGTATAGCTTTTTGGAAGTTAAAGAAACCTTGGCTCACATTTTGTCTTGAAAGTACAGTTGCACCTTGATGACTTGAACCCCTCTAAGTCAATTACAGATGGTACCTTGCCATTAAACCCTAATCTGTTGCCAAACAAGGGTCAAATTCTGAAACATTTGAATTGCAAGACACTGTGAAATACAACAATGTAAAAAAATGAATGTAAACAAAGCAGGTCAAATTGCTAGGAAAGGGTTTAATTGCAAATCAACCTCCCTCCAAATTCAACTTTCAAATTGCAGGATGGTCAAATTTAAGGTACCACCAATACCTCCATACTTCAAAATTTTCCCTGTCTGAATTTCCTGGTAAAAAAATTAATAAAAACCTCCCTATAAGTCAAGGGCTTGTCCCCTCAAATCTCCATAACTCAAATGTTAATCAGGCTTTAGCTATTATTTCATGGACATATGAAACAGAAATGCAACAAAAATGCATCTTGATGTGTTTTGTATGGGAGTGAAAGACTAATTAGACAAACAAACTCTTCATCTTGAAGTTCAGCATCCTGACAACTCATTTAAGCAGCAATTTATTGCCCATAATAACATTGATTAAAATGTCCTGCATTCTTATTTCTTTCCCTCAAATATAAATATATAATGCAAGTTTTCCTAAATCAAAACTACACTAACTCAAATTTTTTATACTGATCCCTATAAGTTTGACTATACTTTAAATAACACAATAATGTATTTTATTTATCCCAAGTTAGAATAAATTTTGTTTCTGCCAGTGTTCCCCAACCTGTGGTCTGTGTATTGGCACCAGTCCACGGAAGTGTTTTGCATGTCCATGGGCAATTTTCTTCAGTATAATAAACTTATCAAAAGTAGCAATGCCTGAAATTTCAGAGAGAAAATGGAAGTTGAAATTATCTGATGAAATATAAAAGTTGACTTTTCTCCTTGTAACCCTTCACTCCTTCAGACAAATTTTTAACTGCTGCAATAAATTAATATAATTTTTTCCATTCTGAGAAAGCTTTTCCAAAGCCCACCTCTCTAATTTTTGAAGAAATTCCACTAAATTGTTGCTTCCTTGCTTCTTAACCTAATTTTTGCAAAAAATCAGAAACTTTTTAATTACATGTATTTCAAAAAAAAATTTTTGAAGTGTGAAAAATGTTTTTTTTTTATTTGCCAGTCTACGTGCCCAAAAAGGTAGAGGAACACTGCCTGGTGGCTACGGATCGATGTGCACGCAATTTCTCATTTAAAAAAATAATAATCGCATGTAGATTTTGTCTTCAAAAGAACTAGTGTCTCTAACTCACGTAGTCCCAGATAGCTGAGAAACTCAGGTCAGCAAGCTGGAAACATGACGCCCATTCTTCATTGAGTATTGAGCTGTTGCATTCCACACCCACGTAACTCAATTGTTGAAGCGCATGTGAATTTTCTGAAAACAAACAGTCAGCAAAAAATCGTTCCACAATTTACGTTTAAATCCACAGATTAAATACCTATCGCACCCACGATTTTTCAGTCTAAAATTTTGAGACAATTCCATCCCCGAGTAAGACGCTCTTCCCTATGTTTTATATTGACTAAAACTGCAATATTTTGAAAATAAGAGCACCCAAATTTTAATTTAACTTTTCTCCTAATAACCGGTCAAACAAGTTTTTACCTGCAGAAATAAATTATTTCAATTTTTCATCCTTTTTTCTCAAGCCCACCTTTCTAATTTTTCAAATACATTCCACTATGGCTGCTTCTTTTGGTTCTTGGCTTATTTAAACCCACAGACATGAATTAAATCTGAACTTGACTACTTTTCCATTTTTTTCCGTAAAAATGAGTTCTCCTGCTGGAATTGCTATGAATCCTCCATTGAAATAGAGTACAATTCACATCTGAACTTCAAAAACTGTTCGAAAAATTATGTTTACCCCCCTTTGGACGCGCACCCCTTTTTTTCTCCTCTGTTCTGAGAAGAAAAAAAAAACAGGTGCGCGGGGTACCTGAGTAAATAACTAACCTCCTTCTACGGTGTACACTAACCTGTTCCAATCGAGTCCAAGATAGTGACTTGATCACCAATGTAATTAGCAAAAGGAAAAACAATGATCGGAACAATGTTCACGTCTTCCCCTAGCCGAGCGTCCGAACTTAAAGGCACGATTGCCGGCTGGTACTTGGCCAAGGTGTTGTCACTCTGGTCAGTGATTTCACGGCTCATGTTATAACTGGGATGGCGAATAATTGAAGGCGTATTCACTATGAATTCTTGGTTGGGTTCTGTCCCCAGCTTCACGAAAATAAAGGAAAAGGATAGTCCCATTGCCGCGTAAAGATCCGGATCTACCCCATAGGATGCAGTGAGAACATGTCTGCCGTAAAAAAAAAGAAAGAGAACAGCAAAATGTTTAGCCAATTTAACTCAAAATTTCATCAAAAACTATTGCACGGCAGTAAATTTGAAATTCATCTCCCAAAAATCAAGAAAAGTGGTATAGGTACTGATGTTGGGCTGAAAAATGTGGGTTGCAGTGATACCCCGACATACAGACACCCCGATATCTGGACCATTCGACTTTGGGACACGAACTTCGAAAAATCTGCCTTCATATCTGGACAACATCTCGAGATACGGACACGTTTTCAAAATTTCCAACAAGTTAGAAAAAAGCCATTAGACAGTGCATCAATAAGTCACGCCTTGCCATTGTGCAGGCATCAGTCTAGGCTCACGACCCCACACTTGTTATTTGCTTCCTGAGCTCCTTCTCAGCATGCTGCCCAAAAATCACACCCTCTCTGATTCTCTTCAAGATACACTTCTATATATCGACGTTGAGAAACATCTTCGTTCAATTTTCGGTGGTTTTATTCCTAATTTTTGATGAAAAGGAGAACCAACTGAACTTCATCTGGTTGAATTCCACGGAAAAACATGATCCAACGTACGGACACCCCGACATAGGGTCGAGGTTCAAGTACATTAGTACACTGATCACATCCGCAATTCGGGGCCCCCCACTGTATATATTGAATTTTCAATCAGCGAGACGCCGCGAGATGTATCAAGGAAACTCAATGAGTCTAATTATTTCTCATAGGAACTGAAATAAATTATTATCTTGAAATTTGCAGCCTAATTTCTACCCTACACATGAAAATTGATAGCTTACCTCTTTGAGATGAGCGCTCCAGCTAATACGGCGTGAAATTCCGTGTTATGAAAAGGAAGATATATTTCAGCAAAGTACGGGGCCTGTGTCCTGTCGGTATCCGCAACGACGCCTTCAATCCGAGAAAAATCCTCGTCAAACTCATCTGCAGGAGGATTGGAGTGATTCACAATGTAAGCGATCATTTGCAGCTGTACGGGATCCTTCACGGGCAGATTGTTCATCGCAAACCCTGAGGGATTATCATACAAAATAACTTTTTTTAGAATTTTGATGAGGCAAGTAAAAACCAGAGCATTCATATTACCATTCCTTGGGAGGCAGTAAATCGCCAAGATCAGCAGCAGATATGTCCGCATTATTGCCTTCATGGTTTCGATATTGAGAAAGGCGGAAAATTTTCCTTAAAAGCACAAAATTGAAATCGCACAGGTGATGATTATTGGCAGGTCAATTCAAAGGCATGGATTACACCAGCTGTCTTCCAAATCACGTAATCAGAAAACGTTGGGCAGCAGTATATGATTGAATTAACATTATTTGTGATGAAATTCGCGTATATACTGCGCCAAAAAGATGCTATGTGAGCTTCGAATAAATAGTTTCATAAATACAGAAAGTTTAATCGAAATGTACTGTATGTCTGCTTCCGACATCTACATTTTTCCTGTTACTTACATGAAAAAATGTGAGTCTTATACACTGAGAGATATCATAGATCAGACAAAACACAAGCTCAGATCTCGTGACGATGTGACGAAGAGTTTGTATCGATTCTGCTTTTGTTGCGTTTTCTTCAAAATGGTGACCTGTTTTCTGAGACAATGGCAAAGAAAAAAGTGCATTGTTTCAATAGCAAGCGTTAACTCGTATATGGGTGCTCAGCACAAATGAACAAAAGATGAAAATCGGTCATTTGGAATAAGGAAAGGGAAGAGCAATATAAATGTATCCAGATGCATTATTTTAAAAGGAAAAGAAAGACTCCATGGGCAAATGACCCCTTGCCTTTTGGAGCTCAGCATCCTGATGTCAGCTCATCTAATTAAAAAGCAATTTTAAAGTCAGAAATATCTCCAATTCCAATTCTTTTTTTTTCATCAAACAAAAATGCATGCATTAATAATCTCTGAATCAAAACCTCCTTAACTCAAAAATGCAAAAATACAAATAAACTATGAGGGAATTTCATGCAAATTTTTGACGGCTTCTTCAGGATCAATTTTCATTTCCTACTCCCCGCATTTGTCAAGAAAGTGCTGGGAGCAGAATGAAATCATGCCAATATTTCTCATTTACGCCTGAAATATTGACAAGAAAGATTAAGCTGTTTGTTGCTGTCAGAGAATTGTTATCCATAATTATCTTTCCCGAACCTGAATGTCAACGAAATCTTTAGATGAAATTTC